TTTAGAGACTGAATTTTATGACATGTGAATTGTTTGCCAGTGGCAAATCTATCTTTGAGGAAGCCGACCATTGTGGCCCAGTTCCCACATGGAGCAATTCAGGGCAGGGACGGGGAACCAGGTGCGAGGGCCATTGCCTCGGAGCCACCTGTGACCTGGGCTGTGTTCTCCGCTGTGGTTGCCAACTGGAGTTGAGTTTTACCTTTTGGATTTCTTTCGCCAGTTTAATGGCACCTCGGAGCTGTCTTTAATGTGTGTGTCTTCAATTACAAGGGCGACTGGCAGCCAAGAGGCTTGGCCCTGGGTTTCCACCTTGTTCGCTAATTGGGTGCTGGGCTCCAGCCTTGCCGTCCCGCCCGACAGCAACAAGAAGTGGAGTGCAGCCGGGCGCGGTGGCTCACGCCTGTAATCCCAGCACTTTGGGAAGCCAAGGCGGGTGGATCACCTGAGGTCGGGAGTTTGAAACCAGCCTGACCAACATGGAGAAACCCCATCTCCACTAAAAATACAAAATTATCTGGGTGTCGTTATGCATACCTGTAATCCCAGCTACTTGGGAGCCTGAGGCAGGAGAATTGCTTGAACCCGGGAAGCAGAGGTTGCAGTGAGCCGAGATCATGCCACTGCACTCCAGCCTGGTGACAGAGCAACACTCTGCCTCAAAAAAAAAAAAAAAAAAAGGAGTGAAATGGGGGGGTGAAGGGGGTTGTGGGTAGAGGGAGGCTGGGGGATTGTGAGCTCTCAGAGCCAGAGGAGGATGAGATTTCAGCCTCAGCTGCCCTACTTGCCCCATTCTCTTCTGAGCATCACTTTCCTGACCTCTGAAATAGGAGTTAATTTATTCAAACACACACACACACACACACACACACACACACACACACACACACAAAATCTGCCTTCAGTATCTTGGCTCCACCACTTCCTGGCTGTGTGGTCTTAAGTAAGTGACTTAACTGCTCTGGGCATCAATTTTTTTCATTGTAAAATGGGGATAACCAAGAGCTCCTGTATTTTACAGCTGAGGAGGGGATTAAGTGATTGAGACGTGTAAAGTGCTTAGAATGGAGCCCGGCCCAGATCAGTGGGCAGCAGACGGCAGCGCTCTCATGGACCCGGCGGGCTCAGCGCTGTGCTGCCTGCACTGTGGTTGTGAGTGGGCCCATGATGGCTTCCACTCGAGAGGGGAGTAGACAAAGCGAACATGGGAAGGCGGCCACAGAGTGGAACCCTGCTGTGGGAGGAGGATGGGGCTGCTTTACAAGAGAAAGGACTTTTCATTTTTTTGAGACAGGATCTCACTTTGTCATCCAGGCTGGAGTGCAGTGGCCTGATCAGAGCTCATTGCAGTCTTGCACTCCTGGGCTCAAGCGATCCTCCTGCTTCAGCTTCCCTTGTTGCTGGGACGACAGGTGTCCTCCATCATGCAAGGCTAATTTCTGGATTTTTTTTGTAGAAGTGAGGTGTGACCATGCTGCCCAAGTTGGTCTTGAACTCCTGGGCTCAAGCGATCCTCTTGTCTCCACCTCACAAAGTGCTGGGAAGCTACTCGGGAGGCTGAGGCAGGAGAATCTCTTGAACCTGGGAGGCGGAGGTTGCAGTGAGCCAAGGTCCCACTGTTGCACTCCAGCCTGGGCAACAAGAGCGAAACTGTCTCCAAAAACAAAAACAAACAAACAGAAAACCAAGTGCTGGGAGTGCTGGGTCATGAGAAAGGAGCGGTTGGGAGAACAGCATGGGAGGAGGGACTGGGATTGGAAAGGGTGTGTGTGTGACTGTGAGCATGTGTGACTGAGTGTGAGCATGCAAGTATGCGTGACCATGTGTGTGTCTGAGTCTGTGTGAGACTGACCATGCGAGTCTGTGAATGTTGAGTGGGTGAGCATGTGATGTGTGAGCATGTGTGAATGAGTGTGAGCGTGTGAATGTGTGTGAATGAGCATGTGATGTGTGAGCATGTGTGAATGAGTGTGAGCGTGTGAATGAGCATGTGTGAATGTGTGAGCATGTGAATGTGAGCATGTATGAATGTGCATGTGAGCATGTGTGAATGTACGTGTGAGCATTGTATGTGTGAGCATGTTTGAGTGTGAGCATGTGTGACTGTGGACATGTGAATGTGTGAGCATGTGTGAATGTGAGTGCATGTGAGCATGTGTGTATGAATGTATGAGCATGTGTGAATGTGTGTGTAAGCATGTGTAAATGTGTGTGAATTGTGAATGTGAATGTGTGTCAGTGTGTGAATGGGTGTGTGAGCATGTGTAAATGTGTGTGAATTGTGAATGTGAATGTGTGTCAGTGTGTGTGAGCATGTGTGAATGTGTATGAATGTGTGAATGTGAATGTGTGTCAGTGTGTGAATGTGTGTGTGAGCATGTGTGAATGTGTATGAATGTGTGTGAATGTGAATGTGTGTCTGTGTGTGAATGTGAGTGTGAATGTGAGTTGTATGAGCGTGTATGAGCATGTGTGAATGTGAGGGTGTAGGGAGTTGAGGGTGTGACTCAGATGTTGAGTTCCGGGCTGAGGCATGGGCAATGCAGAGGTGCGGAGTAGGGGAGAGTGATTGAGCAGCCAGCGTGGCCAGAGCAGAGGGAGGAGGAAGGATGAGGTCAGGGTGATGAGGGGCCCCTCTCCAGGGCCTTGAAAGTCATGGTGAGCGAGTGAGTCACCAAAACACAGGGAAAAACCACTGGAGAGCTTTAAGCTGGGCAGGACCATGAGCCAGGCAGTTTCAGAGTGACTTCTTGAGTGTGGGGTGGAGGGGTGAAAGCTGCCTGGAGGAGGACTGGGGCTTGTGGTCCAGCATGGCTTGGAAGTAGAGGGAGAGGCACAGTGCGTGCCCCTGGAGTATGGGAGTGGGGAGAACAGGAAGGGAGAGCCGGCCAGTGTCAGGTAGTGGGGGCTGGGCTGGGCCTCAGTCTTCAGTTGGGGGACCCCAGGCCCTGCAGGCTGCACTCTGAGTCACAGGCACCCGGATGGGCACTGGGTAGGTGGCCCTGGGCCCCACCCTTCCTGGCTGTGGCTTCCTACTGCCTCCTGCCTCCTTGGGACCACTGCTCTGGGCAGGACTGCTCTAGTCCAACCCCAGCTCCACCGTTTTCACCCTTGAGTGGTGGGTGGGGAGACGCCCTCTTCTCAGACACTTAGTGCACACCCAGCACCAGAACGTCAGCAGCCCACAAGGCTTTGGAGGCTGTTTTTCGTTTTTTGAGCCTGGGGCCCTGAATCATCTGGTTAGAGAGCTGGGCCCCAGCCAGGCCACAAGGGTGCCAGGCCACAAGGGGTGCAATCTCGGCTCACTGCAATCTCCGCCACCCGGTTTCAAGCGATTCTCATGCCTCAGCCTCTCATCTGGTGCCTGCCACCATGCCTGGCTAATTTTTGTAATTTTTAGTAGAGAGGGGTTTCTCCGTATTGGCCAGCCTGCTTGAACACCTGACCCTCAGTGTTGGGATTACAGGCGTGAGCCACTGTGTCTGGCTTCTCATGTACTCTAGACATTGCTTTTGTCTCGAGGCAGGATCTTGCTCTGTTGCCCAAGCTTGAGTGCAGTAGTGTGATCACAAGTCACTGCAGCCCTGACCTTCCAGGCTAGTCTTGAATTCCTGACTTCAAGTGATCCGCCTGGCTCAGCCTCCCAAAGTGCTGAGATGACAGGTGTGGGCCACCATGCCTGGCCTGAAAAAAAAAATTAAGGGAAAAATCCAGGGACCACTTCCGCCCTTTTAAGAACACCCGTCAACACCTAATTGAGCCCCGGAATCCCCAGATCTCACCGTCAGCTGATGAGGGTAGCCCCTCTCTGGCCTCCCACTCCTCCCAGCAGACTCCCTCTGCCTGGCTCAGTTGAAGCGAGTCAGATAACCAGATGGAGGTACAGCCAGGCTTGTCTGGAGTGAGGGATGTGAGAGTGATAGAGACACGGCCCTGCCCCTGAGGCCTGAGGAAGGGTGTGACTCAGAGATCTTGAGCAAGACGGAGGCCCTCAGCCACCAGCTGAGCCTGTCTCCACACTTGGCTAACCCTGCAGGAGCTGCTTCGCCTGCCCAGGACAGGTGCTCCTGAGGGATGCCTGCGCAGAGCGGATATGCAAATAGGAATAAGCTTTACTGAGTGAACTGATGCTTGATATTATTATTATTTTACCATTATAAAATAATTTATTAAAATTCAAGAAGAGCTGGGTCAGGTGTGGTGGCTCACACCTGTAATCCCAGCACAGTGGAGCCTAAAGCAGGTGGATCACTTGAGGTCATGAGTTTGGGACCAGCCTGGTATAGATGGTGAAACCCCGTCTCTACTAAAAATAGAAAAATTAACCAGGTGTGGTGGTGGTGAGTGCCGGTAGTCCCGTGGGAGGCTGAGACATGAGAATTGCTTGAACCCAGAGCGGAGATTGTGGTGAGCTGAGATTGCACCACTGCACTCTAGCCTAGGCAACAGAGTGAATAAGACACTGTCTCCAAAAAAAAAAAAAAGAGCTGAGCATGGTGGCTCATGCCTGTAATCCCAGCTGTAAAATTAGCTGACTGTGGTGGTGAGCACCTGTAGTCCCAGCTACTCAGGAGGCTGAGGTAGGAGAATCACTTGAACCCGGAAGGCAGAGGTTTCAGTGAGCTGAGATCGCGCAGCCTGGCGACAGAGCAAGACTCCGTCTCAAAAAAAAAAATTCAGAAAGGGTTAATTCAGCATAATTTTTTGTTGTGGGGGACGGGGGATACGGAGTCTCACTCTGTCACCCAGGCTGGAGTGCAGTGGCACGATCTCAGGTCACTGTAACCTCTGCTTCCTGGGTTCAAGTGATTCTCCTGCCTCAGCCTCCTGTGTAGCTGGGACTACAGGCATGCGCCATGACACAGCTAAATTTTGTATTTTTAGTAGTGATGGGGTTTCACCATGTTGGCCAGGCTGGTCTCGAACTCATGCCCTCAGGTGATCCGCCCGCCTTGGCGTCTCAAAGTTCTGGGATTACAGGCATGAGCCACCTCCCCTGGGTTTGTTTGTTTGTTTGTTTGTTTGTTTTGAGACTAAATTTTGCTTTTGTTACCCAGGCTGGAGTGCAATGGCGCAATCTCAGCTCACTGCAATCTCTGCCTCCTGGGTTCAAGCAATTCTTCTGCCTCGGCCTCCAGAGTAGCTAGGATTACAGGCCCATGCCACCACACCTGGCTAATTTTTGTGTTTTTAGTAGAGTGGGAGGTTGGCCAGGCTGGTCTCAAACTCCTAACCCCGTGATCTCCCCACCTCGTGATCTCCCCCACTCAGGCTCCCAAAGTACTGGGATTATAGGCGTGAGCCTCTGTACCCGGCCTGGTATAGAATTAAAAAAAAAAAAAAAACTTTTTAGATTCAGGGCTATGGGTACAGCTTTGTTATAGAGGTAAACTCATGCCATGGGGGTTGGTTGAATGGATTATTTTGTCACCCAGGTATTAAGCCCAGTACCCAATTGTTACTTTTCCTGCCCCTCCTCCTGTGCCCCTCTCTGAGCTTAAGTCGGCCCCAGTGTCTGCTGGTCCCCTCTTTCTGTCCATGTGTTCTCATCATTTAACTCCCACTTATGAGGGACAACATGCGGTGTTTGCTTTTCTGCTCCTGCTTTAGTTTGCTAAGAAAAATGGCCTCCAGCTCCATCCGTGTCCCACAAAGGACGTGATCTCTTTCTGTTTTATGGCTGCATAGTATTCCGTGGTGTATATGTACCATATTTTCTTTCTTTTTTTTTTTTTTGAAACGGAATCTCCCTCTGTTGCCCAGTCTGGAGTGCAGTGGCATGATCTCAGCTCACTGCAACCTCTGCCTCCTGGGTTCAAGCGATTCTTTTGCCTCAGCTTCCTGAGTAGCTGGGATTAAAAGTGCCTGCCACGACACCTGGCTAGTTTGTGTTTATTTTTATTTTTTTTCCACTTTATTTTTATTAAGCACTATATAACACACTGCATGCTACATAATATACTGTATAATCTTCTAGCAGGGGTAGATGAGCATAACTGAGTTATTTTTTCATCAATCAGGAAAATGCTTCTTTAATCAATGTTCTCCAAACACTTTGACTTATAGTAAAGATCAACTCCAGAGATGCACCTATCTCTTTCCATCAAATTCCATGGATACAAAACATGAGCAACCCTTTTTTCCTTGCCGCCGTTAGTGAACCTGTGGATGTACGCAGTAGAAAGTCCTGGAATAAGCAAGCCCACGCCCATGGCGGGGAGGCCGGGGAGTATCTCGAACCACATCTCTGCCCGGTTACCTAGGCCAAAACCATATATATATTTTTTCGATACGGAGTCTCACTCTGTCTCCCAGGCTGGAGTGCAGTGGTGCGATCTCGGCTCACTGTAACCTCTGTCTCCTGGGTTCAAGCAATTCTCCTGCCTCAGCCTCCTGAGTAGCTGGGATTACAGGCGTGTGCTACCATGCCCAGCTAGTTTTTGTATTTTTAGTAGAGACGGGGTTTCACCATGTTGACCAGGATGGTCTCGATCTCTTGACCTCGTGATCCACCCGCCTCGGCCTCCCGAAGTGCTGGGATTACAGGCATGAGCCACCGTGCCCGGTGTGATTTTATTATTATTTTTAAGAGGTGGGGACTTGCTCTGTCACCCGGGCTGGAGTGCAGTGGTGTGATCATAGCTCACTGGCCTCCAACTCCTGGGCTGCAGCCATCCTCCCATCTCAGCCTCCAGAGTTGCTGAGATTACAAAAGTGAGCCACCACGCTGGCCTGGATCCTTGATATTATTAATACTAAAGATAATAATCAGGCCAGGCTCGGTGGGTCACACTTGTAATCCCAGGATGTTGGGAGGGTGAGGTGGGCAGATCACCTGAGGTCAGGAGTTTGAGACCAGCCTGGCCAACGTGGTGAAACCCCATCTCTTAAAAAAAAAAAAACAAAACACACACACACACACACACACACACACAACAAAAAAACCCCACAAAAATTAGCCAGACATGGTGGTGTACACCTGTAGTCCCAGCCACATGGGGGCTAAGACAGGAGAATTGCTTGAACCCGGGAGGTTGAGGTTGAAGTAGGCTGAGATCACTCCAGCTTGGGTGATAGGGGGAGCCTCCGTCTCAAAAAAAAAAAAAAAAAGGATAATAATCACCCCAACCCAGGGACATTTAATGAAGACTTGTGGGGTTAAGTTACTTAATCTCTCTGTTCCCTCCTCTGTAAAATGGAGATAATCTATAGTCCTTATTTGACAGACTAGTCGAGAGCAAAGTTAGTAAGTGCAAAGCACTTACAACCGTGTCTAGCTCAAGGAAAGCCCGTGTTTGCTACGATGTTATCATTATACCAGATTTCATCAGAGCTAAGATGTTGGCCAGGCGTGGTGGCGCACGCCTGTAATCCCAGCACTTTGGGAGGCCAAGACAGGTGGATTGCTTGAGGCCAGGAGTTTAAGACCAGCCTGGGCAACATGGTGAAACACCGTCTTTACAAAAAATATAAAAATTAGTCCAGTGTGATGGTACAGGTCTGTGGCCCCAGCTACTGGGGAGGCTGAGGTGGGAGGATCCCTTGAGCCAGGGAGATCCAGGCTGCACTAAGCTGTGATTGCATCACTGCACTCCAGCCTTGGTGACAGAGAGAGATCCTGTTTAAAACAAAAAAACTAAGATGTCATTGATTATAAAAATGTCACTAAGAAAAATGAATGCTGCCAGTTAACGATGTCACAAGGTTCTTCCATCACTAGAATTTTTCTTGTATATTTCCCGAAAGAGCTCTGTTTGACTTAAATGTAGATTCGCATCATATGTAATCCTCATGCACACATAAAAAGGATAATGGAAGCAAATAAATTGATTACCACGTTCAGAAAACTCCTTCATATTTAGAGTTCGACTCGTGTGAATCATTTGGTCTGAGAGTCATGATGTCTCCCTGCCACCTCCTGCTCTGAGCCCTCGAGAGTTCTAGGGAGAGCGGCACTGCTCAAAACATTCTATAAAACAGCCGTATACCAGCCAGGAGCTCTGAAGCCAGCTTTGCAATTGTGCAGAGGAAGTGGAGCTGACTTTTCACGCTGCTTTGGAAGTATTGCTGACAAGCCTGGGTGCCTTCCCCTGGGGTTTCCCGCCATTTGGGTCCCAGGGCTAAAAAGGGATCCGATTTTGCCCCTAGGGTTTTCTTCCAAGCTGCTGACACTCTTCTGAAGGATTTAATGCTGGCGCCTTTGAAGTGAAGGTCATGACAATGATGTTGGGACTGCAGCTAGCTAGACAGCAACTGTACCACGTCAACTCACTTCAGAGATGTAGAGGGTTTGACCTTACCTGGAGCTGAGACAAAAATAAAAAAAAAAAAATAAAGAAAACCGAAAAAGAATAAAGAGGAGAAAGAAACAGGAATGTAAAATGTGGGCTGCCTATGGCGGCTCACACCCTGTCATCCCAGCACTTTAGAAGGCCAAGGTGAGGCCCAAGCACTTAAGCCCGGGAGTTCGAGACCAGCCCGGGCAACATAACGATACTCTGTCTCTGCAAAAAACAAGCAAAAACATTAGCCAGGGGTAGTGGCACACACCTGTGGTCCCAGTTACTCAGGAGGCGTGCTTAAGCCCAGGAGGTTGAAGTTGCAGTGAGCTGTGATCTTGCCAATGGATTCCAGCCTAGGTCACAGACTTTTTTTTCTCTTAAAAAAAATGTGGGCTGGGCGTGGTGGCTCAAGCCTGTAATCCGAGCACTTTGGGAGGCTGAGGCGGGTGGATCACGAGGTCAAGAGTTTGAGACCATCCTGGTCAACATGGTGAAACCCCATCTCTACTAATACAAAAAAAATTAGCTGGGCATGGTGGCACGTGCCTGTAATCCCAGCTACTCAGGAGGCTGAGGCAGGAGAATTGCCTGAACCCAGGAGGCGGAGGTTGCGGTGAGCCGAGATCACGCTATTGCACTCCAGCCTGGGTAACAAGAGCGAAACTCCGACTCAAAAAAAAAAAAAAAAAATTGAAATGTGAACATTAAGCATCTCAGAACAGATAAAACATGCATAATTTCCCATCTTTTTTTTTTTTTTTTTGAGATGGAGTCTTGCTCTGTTGCCCAGGCTGGAGTGCAGTGGCGTGATCTTGGCTCACTGCAACCTCTCCCTCCCAGATTCAAGCGATTCTCCTGCCTCAGCCTCCCAAATAGCTGGGATTACAGGTACCCGTCACTGCATCTGGCTAATTTTTGTATTTTTTAGTAGAGACCGGGTTTCACCATGTTGGCCAGGCTGGTCTCGAACTCCTGACCTTGTGATTCACCCACTTCAGCCTCCCAAAGTGCTGGGATTACAGACGTGAGCTACCTCGCCCGGCCAATTTCCAATCTTTATATTGACCATGCTTCCAGCTGCCTCAGAGCAGTGGAACATTCTGTTCCTGCTGCCTGGAATACCCTCCCTTCCTCTCCACTTTGCTCTGTTAACCCAGCCATCCCTGATCTCATGCCTCCTCCAGGATGCCTTCCCTGATCATCCTGCAAAGATCAAATCCCCTCCCCTTCATAGCACCTAGTACTGCTACAACTGTCTCGAGTGTGCAGAGAATGGGGTGGGGTGAGGTGACTGGAGCAATGCTCCCTTCTGTCTGGGGTTCAGGGGAGGCTTCTTGGAGGAGCATCTGAACCAGGAGAGGAAGGGAGGGTGTTCCAGGCAGCAGGAACAAATGTTCCACTGCTCTGAGGCAGCTGGAAGCATGGTCAGTATAAAGATTGGAAATTGGCCGGGCAAGGTGGCTCACGTCTATAATACCAGCCCTTTGGGAGGCCGAAGTGGGTGAATCACAAGGTCAGGAATTCGAGACCAGCCTGGCCAAGTTCAAGGGGAGGCTTCTTGGAGGAGCATCTGAACCAGGCTTCCCAGGCTGGGGATGTGGTTTGGATTAGTTTGAAAAACACTGAGGGGAAAGGGAAGGATGCTGAAGTGAGTGAAGCCTGGCATTTGGGAAGATAGGTGTACGGGTACCCAGACTCACCACGCAAGGCCCAGGGCCCTTGAAGGTCCTAGGCTGGAGTCATCCTTTCCCATTTCAGTTTGAGAAAACAAGGCCCAGAGAGGTGAAGGACTGTCCCGACATTGCCCGTGGAGCCAGGACAGCTGTGGCCCTTCCCCCTGCCAACCTCTGGGCCTCCAGCGGAGATGCTGGGAGGATGCAGGGAGGTGAGTTGGGGCCGAGTTACAGGCCCGCCTGCACCCGGAAGGAGGAAGCTGCACGGGGTGTCTGTGGCTGGCCCCAGGGATCCCCCACTAGGGGACTTCCTCTTCCTCTCCCCGCAGGTGCAGCTGCCACAGCAAGACGGGCACCCTCACCCGGGCATGGAGGGGGGCAAGGGGCCCAGGCTCAGAGACTTCCTGAGTGGGAGTCTGGCTACCTGGGTGAGGGGCAGGTGGCAGAGTGTTGGGGAGGGGAAATGAGCCCCAGCCACAGGCTGGTGTTGGGGCTGGCTGGGGGAGGATGGGGCAGAGCCAGGCCGGAGGGGAGGGCTGGGTTCAAGTGTTGAGGATGGAGATATGGGAGGGAGGGTGGGCTGTGGTTAGGGAAGAGGGGCCAGAGGCACTCAGAGGACGGGTTGGGGAGTGCTTGGGCTCACTGGGGCAGGCCGGAGGGGCTCAGGGTTCACTCTGCTGGTCGGCCGACCTCTCTGGGCTCTTCACAGGCGCTGGGACTGGCCGGGCTGGTGGGGGAGGAGGAGGAGTCGGAGGGGGAAGATGAGGAAGAGGAGGAAGAGGGGCCCCTTTGCCCGGAGAAGAGGTTCCTGCGCCTCAGCGATGGGGCCCTGCTCCTCCGGGTGCTGGGCATCATGTAAGGGGCATCGGGTGGGGGCGGTGGCAGGGAAGGATCTGAGGGGAGGGGAAGCTGGTGGGCGGAGCCTGATGGGCAGCGGGCGGGGCTTGAGGGAAGGTGAGCGAGGCCTGTTGACAGGAGGTGGGTCCTTGATCCCACCTCCCTCTCATAGTGCCCCCAACTCCCGAGGGGGACCTCGGATGCTCAGGGGCCATGATGGGCCTGCTGCCCGGCGAGTGTGGAACCTGCACCACCTGTGGGGCCGACTGAGGGACTTCTACCAGGTAAGGGGTCTCAAGGCAAACTGCAAGGAGACAGGAGGGAAGGGGAGCTTCTCTGGGAAGGCCCCTCATAGTCTGCCCCTCTGACTCCAGGAGGAGCTGCAGCTGCTGATCCTGTTGCCACCCCCAGACCTCCAGACGCTGGGGTTTGACCCCCTCTCAGGTGCTCTCCCCACTCACCCCCTCCTACCTCTGTCCCCTTACTACCCCCCCACCCTGCCCAGTTAACCCCTTGGGGCATGTGCTCTGCAGAAGAAGCGATGGAGCAGCTGGAAGGCGTTCTTCGGCTACTTTTGGGGGCATCGGTACAGGTGAGCCGATGGGGGAAGGGAAAATTGGGGTTGAGCTTTGGTGACAGAGGAGGGAGATCCCGCTCCAGCTCCCATTCCTGTCGCCCCTCCCCTTCCTCAGTGTGAGCACCGTGAACTCTTCATCCGCCACATCCAGGGCCTGAGTCTTGAGGTCCAGAGCGAGCTGGCCGCTGCCATCCAGGAGGTACCGAGGCGGGTCGGCCGCCCAGACTGGTATGGCATCTGGGACGCCCTTGCCACACTGCTTCTTCCACTGAACTGCTCTCCCTGTGTCCCAGGTGACCCAGCCGGGGGCCGGCGTGGTGTTGGCACTGTCTGGGCCAGAGCCTGGGGAGCTGGCACCTGCTGAGCTGGAGATGCTGTCCCGGAGCCTGATTGGGATGCTGTCCAGGCTGGCACGGGAACGTGACCTGGGGGCCCAGGTAGGGGCAACAGGGGCATCGTGGCTGGAGGACCATCACGGAGCCGGTTGTGCAAGGGAGATGGAAGTTCGGGGCCCACATATGGGGTTGTGGTCTGAGGTCTCGGGACTGTCACAATCAGATGGCCCAAGACTGTAGACCACAACCCCATGACTGGTATTGAGGTTGGGGGTCGATGTGCAGAGACATTGAATAAGCTAGTTCTGACCCTTGACCCCTGACCTCCTATAGCGGCTGGCTGAACTGCTGCTGGAGCGAGAACCCCTCTGCTTGAGGCCTGAGGTTCCCTCTAGGGCTCCCGCCGAGGGCCCCTCGCACCACCTGGCCCTGGAGCTGGCCAACGCCAAGGCCCAGCTGCGACGTCTGCGGCAGGAGCTGTGAGTGTGTGAAGTCTGGGAAGAGGACTGAATGGAGAGGGGCAGGTTAAGCCTGGATGGGACCCGAGCCCTGGTGTCTACGGAAGGGGTCAGTCCTGGGAAGGGCTGGGGGTTGTGGACCCCAGATCCTCTCCAGCTGCTCCTTCCCTCCAGGGAGGAGAAGGCAGAGCTGCTGCTAGACTCCCAGGCCGAGGTGCAGGGTTTGGAGGCTGAAATAAGAAGGCTCCGTCAGGAGGTGCGCTCGGATGTTCCTCGCCACCGCGACATTCCCTAACCTCCCCGCACCCGGTCCCACTGCCTCCCTCCCAACCCGGCTCTGTCCCGTCCCTAATCCCTCCGGCCCACGGCTGACTGTTCCCAGCTTCACACTGTCTGGTCCAGGTCCAGGCGCTGTCAGGACAGGCCAAGCGGGCCGAGCTGTACCGCGAGGAGGTAGAGGCGCTGCGGGAGCGGGCCGGCCGCCTTCCCCGCCTGCAGGAGGAGCTGCGGCGCTGCCGCGAGCGGCTGCAGGCGGCGGAGGCCTGCAAGGGCCAGCTGGAGGTGAGGGGGGCGGGACCGCGGGGCGGGGCGTGCGAGAGGGGGCGGGCCAGGAGGAGGGGCGAGATTGTGTCCCAAAAAGAGAGAAGCAGGTTCTCTGGTGGGGACAGTCACGAGTAGAGAAATGGGTGAGAACAAATGCTGGGAGATGGCGTCTGGGAAACGGCCTCCGGAGGATGGGGCAGGTGGAGGGGAGAGGTGGGGCTGTGTAGGTGCTGCAGCCTTGGAAGGAAGGCGGTTCCTGGGGAGAAGGGGCGAGGCATGCACAGAAGGGCGGGGCCCGGGGCGAGGGAGAAAGTACCTGAAAAGACCCTGGAGAGAAGAAGATGCAAGGGATGACGGGGCCTAGAGACTTATGGGGTGCAGCGTCGGGGAGGGAGGCAGGGTCTGTGACAGGCCGTGGGGAAGGAGTTTGGGACCCCCAGGTCCTGGAGTGCATAGGGCTGCATGGCCCACCGGTTCTCCCTGGTCTACCAACAGGAGGAGCGAGTGCTCTCAGGGGTGCTGGAGGCTTCCAAGGCGCTGCTGGAGGAGCAGCTGGAGGCTGCCCGCGAGCGCTGCGCCCGGCTGCACGAGACCCAGCGCGAGAACCTGCTGCTGCGGACCCGGCTGGGCGAGGCCCATGCGGTGAGGTCGCCAGAGTGAACCCAGCAGTGTTGCCCCGTCACCCCCATAATCCCACTGATCTTAGGGGTTTCTAGTGATTCGTGCAGCCTCCACTCTTGGTGACCTCTAGTGACCCTCCGGCCTACACACTCGGCCTGGCCATGGTGTGGAGGGCTTGTCTGACCCTGCCCTCGCCCCCAGGAGCTGGACTCTCTGCGGCATCAGGTGGACCAGCTTGCCGAGGAGAATGTGGAGCTGGAGCTGGAGCTTCAGCGGAGCTTGGAGCAGCCCCCGGGTTCCCCTGGGGAGGGTGAGGGACCCCAGTGGAGGGGCTGGGGTAGGGGGCTACCTGTGCTTTCCAGCAGCTGTACTGGGGAGAGCCTCTGACTTCCTCCCTTCCCGCAGTCCTCTGGGGTGGTATGTGAGGAGCCAGGGAGTAAGAGAGGGGTCCTGACCTCATCTTACACCCCCAGCACCCCTGCCAGGAGCAGTCCCCTCACTGCAAGATGAGGTGAGGGAGGCAGAGGCCGGGCAGCTGCAGATGCTCGAGAGGGAGAACCGGGAACTTCGAGGGCTGCTTCAGGTGCTTCAAGGGCAGCCAGGGGGCCAGGTGAGTCCCCTCCCACAGCGTCCTGGCCGGCTCCTCTCCTAGTCCATCCCGAGGCCTGACTGTCCCTCTCCTTTGCCCTCAGCACCCCCTGCTGGAGGCGCCGAGTGAGGACCCCATGCTGCCGGGCCTGGAGGAGGCTCCCCGGACTCCTGTGGCCTCCGAGCACAGCCCCCAGGGCTTGGTTCAGAAGGCGAGGGATGGAGGCCCCCAGACCTTGAACTTGGCTCCCTTGGCATCAGACTCAGTGCTCAAGGGGTCAGCTGAGCGTCCCCAGGCACCTGATTCAGAGCCGCAGGAGGCAGAGAGGCCTCTCCAGGCAGCTGCCCTGGACCCCCACACCTCAGACTGGTCCCCTCAAGAGTCAGACTCTGCTGTGGAGACACAGGCATCCTTGGAGAAGGCTGGCCACAGCTCCTGTCTCCAGAGCCCTGCCTCTGTAGCCCCGCCCCAGGGTCCAGGAACCAAAATTCAGGCCCAGCAGTTGCTGGGAGGAGGGACTGAGGGAAGAGAGGCTCCCCAAGGTGAGTCAGTGCCTGAGGCCCAGGAGTTGAGACAGGAGGGCCCTGAGCACAAGCCAGGGCCTTTGCAGCCCAGCCCTGTGAAGCTGGAGGAGCAGGAGGGTCCAGGTCAGGACCTGGACCTGGCCACGGGACAAACAGCGGCCAGAGGGCAGGACCAGAGGCTGGAGGGGATGGTCGGGGACCCAGCCCAGCAAAAACCACAGTGGAAGTCCGAAGAGGCTCTTGAGGTCCAGGCCTGGGAGGGGCCAATCCCAGGGGAGAGCCTGGCCAGTGGTGTCACAGAGCAGGAGGCCCTCAGAGAGGAGGTGACACAGCTGAGGAGGAAGGCTGAGGCCCTTGGAGCAGAGCTGGAAGCCCAGGCCCGAAAGCTGGAGGCCCAAGGCATGGAGGCCGCCCGCCTCTCCAAGGAACTGGCCCAAGCTCGAAAGGCAGAGGCTGAGGCTCACCGGGAGGCAGAGGCTCAGGCCTGGGAGCAAGCCTGGCTGCGGGAGGCAGTGGAGGCTGCCCGCCGGGAACTGGAGGCTGCGTCCCGGGAACTGGAGGCTGTGTCCCGGGAGCGGGAGGCACTGGCGGAGGCCCTGGCAGCAGCGGGCCGGGAGCGGAGGCAGTGGGAGCGTGAGGGGTCCAGGCTGCGGACCCAGTCGGAGGCCACTGAGGAACGGATGCAGGCGCTAGAGCGCGAGGGCCGTCAGCACCTGCAGGAGGCCGAGAGGGAGCGCCAGGAGAAGGAAGCCCTCCAAGGGGTAGGTCAGGTTGGGGCTCACAGCCGGGGTAGGGAAGCAGGGTTCCAGGCTGTTGGGAGTTACTGATTCCATCAGCAGCTGCTTGGTGCGTGCCCGGCACCGAGATGGGGCTGGAGATAGAAAGGCCAAGTCCACCCCTGCCTTCCAAAGGTGTGCCTGGCCTGGGGCACCGAGGCACGTCCCCTGCCTGATGGGGGCACTATGGGAGGGGTGGGACTGCCTAGTGCACATCTTGGCTCTCTGCCTGCAGCCGTTGACTCACCTCCACCCGAAGCCTCCTTCTGTAAAACAGGGGGGCTATTCCTAGCCACCTGGGCCGTCTTCGGGACGAGCTCGGGAGACAGTAGCTGTAAAGGTCTGGTTCATGCTGGGAAAGGGCATGTTGTAAGTGTTCAAGCACTGGTTCTTCAGAGCAAGTGCTATGAGAGCCTGTGGGAGGGCGAGCTGATGCCCAAGAGGAGGCAAGGAGGCTTTCCGGAGGAGTGACTGAAGTGTCACTAGGTTGGGAAGGACATTTCATCCAGAGAAAATGGCATGTACAAAGCTGAAGGTGTTAAAGATGCTCAGGGGCCGGGCGTGGTGGCTCACACCTGTAATCCCAGCACTTTGAGGGGCGGGGGCGAGTGAATCACTTGAGGTCAGGAGTTCAAGACCAGCCTGGCCAACATAGTGAAACCCCATTTCTACTAAAAATACAAAAATTAGCCGGGCGTGGTGGCATGTGCCTGTGATCCCAGCTTCTCAGGAGGCTGAAGCAGAAGAAACGCTTGAACCCAGGAGGCAGAGGTTGCAGTGAGCTGAGATCCCACCGTTACACTCCAGCCTGGGTGACACAGTAAGACTCCATCTTAAAAAAAAAAAAAGAAGAATACACAAATCAGCCGGGTGTGGTGGCACTCACCTGTAATCTCAGTTACTCGGGAGGCTGAGGCAGGAAAATCGCTTGAACCCAGGAGGCAGAGGTTGCAGTGAGCTGAGATGGCGGCACTGCACTCCAGTGTGGGCGACAGAGTGAGACTCTTACAAAAAAACAAAAAACAAAAACAAAAACCAACCAATGGAACAAAAAAGTCTCAGGGCCCAGGAGGAAGGGGAGATGAGGGCTACCTTTGAAGGTCTTGGCCCTCCTTCCCCAGGCAGGGAAAACCAGGGCAGAACAGTGTGGGACTGGGCTTGAGGAGGGTCACCTTGGTGGGGAGGGGAGCTTGGAGCCATCAGGAGGCAGTGGCCACGATGTAAGTGGCTGAGAAGGCTGGCTAGGGTGGCATGGGAGTGGGGGTGAGAGAAGACCTGGACATACTTTTTTTTTCTTTTGAGATGGAGTCTCCCTCTGTTGCCCAGTCTGCAGTGCAGTGGCATGATCTCAGCCCACTGCAACCTCCGCCTCCCTGGTTCAAGTGATTCTTCTGCCTCAGCCTCCTGAGTAGCTGGGAGTACAGGCACACGCCACCATGCCTGGCTAATTTTTGTGTATTTTTAGTAGAGATAGGATTTTGCCATGCTGGCCAGGCTGGTCTTAAACTCCTGACCTCAGGTGATCTGCCTGCCTTGGCCTCCCAAAGTGCTGGGATTACAGGTGTGAGCCACCGTGCCTGGCCGACACACTTTTATTCATTTTAACACGTTTATAGGCATCTTGTTGGTGCCAGGCCCTGTATCAGGTTCTGGGCACACAGTGGTGACCAGCAAGCTCACACTCCAGTGTTTGGGTGTGACTTCAGCTTCCTTCCAAGCTAAGAAAGGAGTTAGGGCCAGGCGCGGTGGCTCACACCTGTAATCCCAGCGCTTTGGGAGGCTGAGGTGGGTGGTCAGAAGATTGAGACCATCTTGGTCAACACAGTGAAACCCCATCTCTACCAAAAATACAAAAACAATTAGCCAGGCATGGTGGCACATGGCTGTAGTCCCAGCTACTTGGGAGGCTGACGCAGGAGAATTGCTTGAACCCGGGAGGCGGAGGTTGCAGTGAGCTGAGATCGCCACCACTGCACTCCAGTCTGGGCGACAGAGCGAGACTCCATCTCAAAAAAAAAAAAAAAAGCCAACAAAAACCTGTACCTGCCTTGTAGGATCCTGTGAGATAAGAAGTGTCGGGAGACTGGGGCAGTGCCTGGCACCTAGGATGGGCCTGTTTCCGTGGGAGGGAATGCCAGCAGTGAAGGTGAGGGTAGGGCTGGTGGGCTGGAAGAGCCGGCTCCAAGGACCAAGAGGGTGGGAGAAGCTGGGGACATGGGGGAATTTGGTGAGATTTCCTAGTTGGAGCAGGAGAAGGTGGCTGGCCAGGGGGAGGGTAGGGGATCAGCGGCCTCTCAGGTTGTTCACTGGGTGCAGAAGCCTCCCAGGCTGTGGTGGTGGAAGGGTCCTAGGAGGGCTGTGGCCAGGCCCCGAGGAGGGCAGGGCAGGGGCTGGGCAGGAGGTTCTTGTCACCGTGCTGCCTACCCCAGTACTTGTGCTAGTGGATGCCAGCCAGCCAGGCAGCAGCGCCTCATGGGACTTGTAGTTTTCCAGGAAGAGGTGGTGCCCATGGGTGTTACGAGGTGTGGTGCCCCTGGGGCAAGGCCTGGGTTCGGTTGTGAAGCCAGGAAAGTAGTTTTCAGCGGTAAGGCTTGTAAGCTTCGCTTCCAAGGCAGGATTTGGCAGGCAGCTGGTCAGGGGCAGCTGTCCCTGAAGCTTCATCCTGCCAGGGCCCCACGTGGCAGAATGGTTTGGCCCCCAGAGGCCAGAATGGGCCTCCTGTCCCCTTCCAAAGTGGTACAGCCCAACTGTCAAAGGCCACAGATCACCTGGCTGGCAGCATTCTGGTGTCCCCCTGTCCCCGAGCCCCACTGCCAGCCCCCGAGTTCCTGTCCTGCCAGCCCTCCGTGGCCTTCTCCCTGTAGCTGAGGACTCTCACCAGACCTGCCTCTGCTAAGCCCCTCTAGCTGTCTAGCTGTCATATGGCCGGGGTGGCAGCCCGCCGGGTGCGTCCACCCTTCACTGCGCACATGAAGAACCGTGGACTTAGAGAGGTGACGGCACTTGCCCAGCGTGTGTCTCTGACTCCGGTGCAGAAGCCTTCTTCTCGTCCTGCCAGCTTTATGACCCTCACTCAGCTCTTTCATGCCCAATTTCGAGGGCACCAGGCTCTGCTCCCATTTTATAGATGGGGAAGTAGAGTCCAAAGGGTTAACAATGTGTGCCCAGGATGGCAAGTCAAGGACACAAAGGCAGCTCTCCTGGCTCTTTGGCCTCTGTCTCTGGCTGTCCTCTGCTTCCTTGCTCTGAGTCTGCTCTGCCTGCCCTCAGGAGCTGGAGAAAGCCATGGTGCGGGGTAAGGAGCTGGGGGCTCGGCTGGAGCAGCTGCAGCGTGAGCTGGAGCAGGCGGCTCTGGAGCGCCAGGAATTTCTGCGGGAACAGGAAAGCCAGCACCAGAGGTGGGGACAGGGCTGAGGGGGAAGAGTGAGGGAGGCAGGAGTGTGGGGGGCAAGGGTGGGGTGGGGCTGAGTGCCAAGGATTCTCCTGGCAGGTACCAGGGCTTGGAGCAGCGTCTGGAAGCTGAGTTACAGGCGGCAGCGACCAGCAAGGAGGAGGCGCTGATGGAGCTCAAGACCAGGGCCCTGCAGCTGGAAGAGGAGCTGTTCCAGGTGACTGCCAGCCTGGGAGCTGGGGACCATGCCACTCCTCCCTCCATCCCACCAGCACACGCCAGGGTCGCCTGTGCTCCTGTCTTGCCCCTGTATTCTTGCCTAGCTACGTGCCTCACTCCCCATGTGGGGCCACTTGCAGGGAGCACTGTGCTGGGAGTCAGGTGGCCGCGTGGCCTTCTCTGGGGCTCGTTTTCACCATTCTGCACATGGACAGAACTTCTGCTGTGGGTGCCTGCTCCATCTCTCTCACCTGGAGTCCCCCTGCGTAGGGAGCTCAGTGCTTGGCATGATGGAAGCCAGCGATGATTTCTGAGGCCTGGGCTGCACTGGGACCCCGTACGGAGGGTGGGGTGGTGGAGGGCCCAATCCCAGGTTGCCATCCTCAGGCAAGAAAACAGGTGGTGATAACTAGGTGCCAGGGGCTGTGAGGAGGCCATGCAGGGGTTTGGGAGGGTAGCACCCAGCAAGATACCCAGCGGGTGCCTGTGAGGTCAGTCAGGGAAGGTTTTCTGGAGAAGGTGGGGTCGAAACAAGCTTAGAGGAGGCTGCACGCAGTGGCTCATGCCTGTAATCCCAGCACTTTGGGAGGCCAAGGTGGGTGGATCACCTGAGGTCAGGAGTTCGAGACCAGCCTGACCAATATGACAAAAACCTGTCTCTACTAAAAATACAAAAATGAGCCAGATATGGTGACCGACACCTGTAGTCCCAGCTACTCAGAAGACTGAGGCAGGAGAATTGCTTGAACCCAGGAGGCAGAGATTGCAGTGAACCAAGATCACACCACTGCCCTCCAGCCTGAGGGAGACTATCTCAAAAAAAAAAAAACGAAACAAAACAAAATCAAAGAGGCTTAGAGGAGCAGTAGGATGAGAGGCGTTGTGAGCAGAAGGCTCTGCCGCAGACGGAGAGAAGTTGAGAAGGACAGTGTGGAGATGGAGCTTCCAGAGCCAGGACATGTGGGATCCGAGGGAAGGTGTGGGATGGGGGTGGGGTGGGCCAGGCTAAATGCTGCTGGATGGGCAGGTTCATGAGCCTTGTGGGTCCTTGCGGCATCCCCACACCGCTGTGGCTGCCCACATGACCTCCCAGGGACTCTCCTTGCAGCTGCGTCAGGGTCCTGTAGGGCTGGGGCCCAAAGGGTGTGCTGAGTCTCAGCCGGTGGAGACCCAGAATGTGCGGCTCATCGAGGTGGAGCGCAGCGTGAGTGTGGGCCTGCGGCGGGCTTGGGGGTGCCTCGTGCAGCACGAGTGTGGGCCTGCGGTGGGCCTAGGGGCGTGCCCCGTGCAGTGTGAGTGTGGGCCTGCGGCGGGCTTGGGGGTGCCTCGTGCAGCACGAGTGTGGGCCTGCAGTGGGCCTAGGGGCGTGCCCCGTGCAGTGTGAGTGTGGGCCCGCGGTGGGCCTGGGGGTGCCCTGTGCAGCATGAGTGTGGGCCTGCGATGGGCACTGGGGGTTGCCCTGGCCACCTGGCTACTGCTAACCCCCACTTCTGGGCAGAATGCGACTCTGGTGGCAGAGAAGGCAGCTCTGCAGGGGCAGCTGCAGCACCTGGAGGGGCAGCTGGGGAGCCTTCAGGGCCGTGCCCAGGAGCTGCTGCTGCAGAGCCATCAGGCGCAGGAGCACAGCAGCCGCCTGCAGGTGGGTAGTGCCCAGGTGCCCGTCCCTGCCCATGTACTGCCCCCTGCCCCTTTTGGATTGTTCTGTGCCCTTTTCCTACCCTAGCTCCCAGCCAGCTGCCCCACCTCTTCCCCAGTAGCATTTAGCCTTGTCCTCTGACCCCAGCCACCATTTCACACTACCCTTCCTGCCGCTGCCTCCTCCTACCTGCTGCCAGCCCCCATGTCTACACCCATGTCACCCTGCCCTCTCACCGTCCCAGTTCTCCCCTCCACAGGGAGCCATAGTCCCATCCTGCCCTGAGCCCCTCCCGGACAGCCTGGTCCAGCCAGCCTCCCTGCCTCTCCCCAGCCACTCCTCAGCCTCTGGCCAGGCCTTGTGCTGCCTGCTGTGCTCCCAGCCCTCTGCCTCTTCTACAGCTCTCTCCTTGTCCTGGCCCTGCCCTCTGCCCTTAGTCCCCTGCCCCTCATCCACTTTCCAGCCAGGGTTTCCTCCCCAGCAGCCCCTGCCTCCCTCCTCTGCCCTAGGCCGAGAAGTCTGTGCTGGAGGTGCAGGGCCAGGAGCTGCATCGGAAGCTGGGGGTGCTGGAGGAGGAGGTGCAGGCAGCCCGACGGTCCCAGGAAGAGACACACAGGCAGCAGCAGGCCCTGCTTCGGGACCATGAGGCCCTGGCACAGCTGCAGCGGCGGCAGGAGGCCGAGCTAGAGGGATTGCTGGTGCGGCACCGAGACCTCAAGGCCAATATGCGGGCACTGGAGCTGGCCCACCGGGAGTTGCAGGGCCGGTGAGCATCCCCAAATGCCCGGCTCCTCTTTGGTACCCCCACCTGCCAGCATAGACTTTCCTCGCCAGGTCTGACCCCCACTGGGAAGCACCTCCACCTCCGCTCTGTGGTGCCCCAGCCACTGCTCTGCCCTCTGGGGTAACTGCACCCCCTAAACTTCTGGTTTGGGCTCACTGTGGGGCTCACCTCTTGGGGATGGTGGGCGCCTGGCATGGCATTCGGCCCGATGGCATTCCCTGGTGTGGGGGCTATCCTTAGGAAGTGACAGACCCTCCCCAGGTCCAGGTAGTCCAGACACCTGCTTGCCGTGGTCACAGGTTCCCGCAGCCCTCTTAGCCCCTTGTCCATCCCAGGCATGAGCAGCTGCAGGCCCAGCGGGCCAGCGTGGAGGCACAGGAGGTGGCCCTGCTGGCAGAGCGGGAACGCCTGATACAGGATGGTCATCGGCAGCGGGGCCTGGAGGAGGAGCTGCGGAGGCTTCAGAGCGAGCACGACAGGTGTCGGCCCCCTGCAGCCCCTAGCGCCTCTCAGTGGCCCCATCCCCAAAGTGGGTTGGGGGTGTGAGGTCCTGCCTGGCCTCCCCTCCCCAGAATAACTCCTTCTTGCCTCTGAAGGGCTCAGATGCTGCTGGCAGAGGTATCTCGGGAGCGGGGTGAGCTGCAGGGCGAACGCGGGGAGCTTCGGGGCCGGCTGGCGCGGCTGGAGCTGGAGCGGGCACAGCTGGAGATGCAGAGCCAGCAGCTGCGAGAGTCCAACCAGCAGCTGGACCTGAGTGCCTGCCGGCTGACCACACAGTGTGAGGTGTGGCTGGGGGTCTGGGGGAGGGGTGGGCGTGGCTGGGGGGTGTGGGTCTAGAGGGGTCAGAGGAAGGGAGGGGAGCTGAGGTTCAGGCAGGGAGGGGGTCAGAGGAGGGGAGGGGTGCTCTGACCCCTAAGCCTAGACCCAGGTGGTCCTGAACTGGTCCTATCCCCTGACCCATGCTGCCTGCTGCCAGCTATTGACACAGCTTCGGAGTGCCCAGGAAGAGGAGAACCGGCAGCTGCTGGCTGAAGTGCAGGCCCTGAGCCGAGAGAACCGGGAGCTCCTGGAGCGCAGCCTGGAGAGCCGGGACCACCTACACCGGGAGCAGCGGGAGTACCTGTGAGTGGGAGGCCTGGGAGCTGGGTTCCGCCTGCATCCCTTTTGGGTGTTCCTGGGGAGACCCCCATGGACAGGTTTGGAGCTGGCCTCCCACATCGGTCAGATCTGTGGCACGGCTGGACCAGCACGTCCTCATTGCCACTTGTGCCGTGCTCCTGCCTTGGCTTCCCTGGGCCTCATGCCCACTGCTCCCCTCTCACTCCTGCCAGGGACCAGCTTAATGCCCTGCGCCGTGAGAAGCAGAAGCTCGTGGAGAAGATTATGGACCAGTACCGCGTGCTGGAGCCTGGGCCCCTGCCCCGGACCAAGTGAGCAACCCTGTCACCTCCCTCGGGCTGGAAACCCTGCAAACCTCTACCCCTGCCCTGCCCTCTGACTCCAGGCCTCGTGAAGGTCAACCTGGTCTTTGCCGTCCCCAGGACATTCTCTGTTCCCTCCCTCCTCCCTGTCCTGACGCCCTTTTGTGCCCTCTTGCCCCCAGGAAGGGCAGCTGGCTGGCAGACAAGGTGAAGAGGCTGATGCGACCCCGGCGGGAGGGGGGCCCCCCTGGGGGGCTTCGCCTGGGGGTCGATGGGGCTGGCAGCACCGAGAGCCTGGGGGGCCCCCCGGAGACGGAGCTTCTTGAAGGCAGGGAGGCGGATGGGTCAGGTGGGTCTGGGGGTAAGGTGGCCAGGATGGCCACTGCCCCACATCCCCCGCTCCTGCCTTGGTGCCCGCCTCACTGCCTGGCCTGCACGCATGCCCCCATTGGCCTTCTCTAAGGCTTGCCCCACCTGCCCTGATGCCACCAGGGGCTCTTTGTCCTGGGCCCTGCAGGGTTGTCCTTGGCCCCCACTTCCCTCCTACCTGTGCTGTCCCCACCCAGCCTGCCCCATCCAAAGCGGAGCCCAGGATCTGGGAGGTGCAGAGGACCTCGGGAGAGGTCACTGATCTAGACTGCAGATGAGGAGGCTGAGGCCCAGGGAGGGGAAGCTCCTTGGCCAAGGTCATGCAGTGAGTTAGTATCAAGGCCGGCACAGGGCCAGCCTCCTGCTGCCCTGCTCATTTGCTGGCTCCTTCCCCACCTCTGCACCTCCCCTCCCTGGCCCTGGGCAGCTTCATCCACTGGCCCCTCCATTCC